TATATATATATATAGAATTGATTATATATAATTTAAAATTTGTTAATATGTAAATTTTAAATCGCCTATTTAAAGCGCGTTTTATGACACGATATTACGAATAATACATAATCATCCGTTGCGATTCACAAATCACTGAAACAACGCGTCGCGTTCTCCATTCTATCCGCCCCGTTGAATTATGCAATTAGTTACACAGGACGCAATCCCTACGGTGATAAGGGAAATACAAGGACTCGCGCTCGTACCAGAAGAAGCTTCATGGCTGATCGCTCTGTCTCAGGTTCCAGTTGCTGGTCGCGATGCCGACGAAAAACTGAGTTCGTTCAGGAATCGTGACCCCTGTAAGTATTTATAGGGCATCAGCCGTCAGCCGACGCATCAGCCAGCCGAAGAAGAGGAGCGATCGTCACGAGCTCGATTCTATGGCCGATACACTTTCGCTGCTGCCGAATCTGGGTGGCAGCCAAATAGAGGCCGCTTTTCTCTCCCGCGAAGTCCATGAAGGCGACGAGGAAGACGCACCGCATGAAGCACACTGAAGCATACATTAGCGACGCGGCGAGGCCGCGACGGCGATTCCGGTCTTCCAGATCGGCCAGATAGCCGCGATTGCTCTCGATACGTGAGCGCTCCTTTCGATACCGCGCGCGCGTACGCCGTCGGAATCCATTCGCTGCTCGAGTGCATCGTGTGCATCAGGGATGCTACGGTACGTATGCGTTACGAGATAATGTGACCTATTAATACACTGACTGCCGCATTGATTTTCATTGATTGTATAAAAGCTCAAAAGTTCAGTATTACGATTATGTAACTTGTTTGTAACTTATCTCGACGACAAAATCGTGAAAGTGAACAATTTCGCGCGAGTTCGACGATTTTTGCGATCACGTAACCTTCCAAACCGTGGAAATGTGGAATTCTTCTTGTGACGCTTTTTACTTCGCATATTTCCAGGCAAAAGTTACACGATCGCTACTCCGTTGCTATTGCTCAAGTACGATATTAAGATTTCAATTTAATTAAATGTGAATTTTTCTGTTAAATTGATGATCGCAAGTATAACTTCACACATTTCATACGAATCAAGTGAGAAAAACTCGGACTTTATTCTAAATTCAGATCTGAGTGTTTCAAATTACGATTGTTAATACGGGTCATAGCGCCTGTCACCTGTGACTGTCGCGGCATTCAATATTAAATGTACCGAAGCACCGTCGATGACTGCTTCGGCCCATATCACACACTTCGACTGCTATCCTTACGGTCAAAGAATAATTGGTCGTAATTAGTCAATTTTCTTACTGCCTAAGTCTTACTGCTTACGTTTTTCCGCGTGTCATGGCCTTTAGATTTGGAGCACATGAAAAAACGTAATTCTCCCTATGATTTAAAAATAATTAACTGTTGTTGGTCAATTTCCTTACTGCTTAAGTCTCACGTTTCTCTACGTGCCACTAGCTTAAGGCCATATCAAACTACTAGATTGAAGGTTACAATCGGGCCGATTAAATAATAATTAAATAAAACAGAAGCAAGATTTAGATTGGTCCGATTGCAATCCTCAATCCGTAGTCTGACACGGACCTTAGGCGCACAGAAAGGTAAGCAGTAAGCAAATCGATCGACCACAATCGATTATTCTCAGACCGTAAGGCAAATAGTCGAGTATGGTTGATCAATTTTCTTACTGCTTACGTTTTTCTGTGCACCATGGCCTTTAGTCTCACATGAAAGGAGCGGTCAATAACGCCCATTTGAAGCAGGGCTTAGGCGTCATTCCAGCGATGGAGATCGTGCGAAGTTCCTTCCATAGTGGTCTCCCTTTATTCGGTCAACGAGATCGGGACGGGTGTGGGCGTGCACGCGCGCCTTTTCCTCGTCGCTTCCGCGTTACCCGCGGAGACTTTCCTAACTTTCATTTTCTAACGCGTCGGTCGTTCCTAATGCCGGCCGCGACCGTTCGTTATTCATTATTCATCGGCGATCGCGTTCGCCGGCGAACACATAACACAACGTACACACCCAATGACGTTGGCCGAGCTTCACGCCACGTATTGCGAATTAGCGGAACTCACGTACGCGATGCGGCATCAACGAGGGTGGGCGAACCCCGTCGTCGTTTGTGTCAGGAAGAAATCAGGAAACCTCTCGAGCGTTTTTCCCCTATCGTCTCGTACTCTTACGTCGCGCATCTTCGACTTTGTTCTCTCGCTTGGCTCGCATCTATGCACGCGTTCGCTTCATCTTCGTTCCTACTTTCTACCTTTGCATATGCATATCGGCGCGTTTGTCTTTGTTACATTTCTGTACTTCGACATTCGCTTCCTTCTACAATTAGAAACACCGACTACGCGACACGTCAGTTAACATCGATCCACGAACGCACTCTTACGTAGGGAGCGAGGGAGGGAAGACGAGTTTTTCTCCCTCTAACTCGCGGGGAGCTGTTAGCTGAAGGTAAAAATACCGATATCCGGACATGCATCTAAATCAGGACACATTCTTGTTGTTTTGGGTTTTAACTACGAATATGTAAACTTTCAATCATAAATATATGTACATGTACTCGAGAAAACAATTTTCCATATATAATTACCCAGGCAGCACGGCATCTCCTAGAGATGTCCTGAGGATGTCCTGAGGACGTCCCGATGTCCAAAAGACGTCCACAGGACGTCCATGGGATAGCATGTGCTATTTGAGTGTATGTATTAGGCGTCATACATAGAATATTTCTACATATAAAATTATATAATTATGTATAAAGTGGTGATACAAAGAGAAAGAGAGAGAGAGAGAGAGAGACAGTTATACATGATTATATATAAATATATATTGATATATAATTATATATTTATATTATATATTTACCATCTAATATATATATATACGAAATCTACGAAGTGTCTTAAAAGAAAAGTGTTTGTATGCTTCATATTGTAATTAATCATTAATTATTAATTTATTTTAGTTTGCACACCTATTTTAATAGTATTTGAGCATTTCGCGTATTATGGTTGTGAACTTCCGATTTTAACCCAAACATGGCGGCCACAGCGATGGTAGCCATCCTCTTATTATATAGGTCCTTTATTTTTACCTAATATAAATCGCCGTCGTGTGGACGATGTTGTAGCGTGTGGTGAATTCTCGGACGCTTCTTTTTGGCTGTACGTGCTTGGAAGAGCACTTCGGGCAATTAAAACAAATATGGATAAGTGGGGTATAAAGTGTTCGCTCGTCGTACGTAATTACGTCATCGGCACAACAAGCGGAGAACGAGCTCGTAATCGGAAACGCGAAGTCGATGTTCTCGGAAGCGAGCCAATATTAATTCCGTTTACCTCGTCGCGATAATTTCCACGATTAATTCGTCATACGCGTTTCTCTATTATTCCGCACGTCGCTAGAATTCGCGCGCTATCGTAAAATATCGCCGGAGAACTGGACCGATCAGCTTTCCTCACCGGAAACACGCAAGGGTTGTGCCGATCGACGAGAGCGAGTTCCCGATCCGATCGTAGATGGAAATCCGACCTGCTCCTCGTTCTGGATCCGTCAAACTGCCCTCGAGCCGCTCCGCAAATATAAAAGCTTTCCGTCCTAACGATCTCGTGAGCAGTTTAGTCGCGACGAGAGAGCAATGTCGAAGATACCCGTAAGTTGTCGTACAACTAGCCTCCGGGAATAAATTTCCTCGATGAGAGTACCTCGTTAGCCGAGTAATTAAAAATCGGAGGCTCTACTAATTCTCCGCAAGCTCGCGATTGTCTTCGTCGAGTCCCCATTTCACCCGCAGAAATCGTTAGCGAATTGTGACGCGTCGGACAAGCGACGATTTAGGATCGGCTAATACTGTCTTAACGTTGTAAATATCACGGTTTCCGAGGGGTGTTGAGTGCATTTCGTCATCGACGCGATGTTTCAGCTGTTCCTCACGCTGCTGTGCGCTGGCGTGCTCGCGTCGGTGCGGGAGCAGCAAGACACGAAGCAACAGAAACGAGGTATCATCGGTAACGACGGATGGGTCGGTCTATCGAGTCCTTACGGGTACGGACATGGACACCCGTGGACCGTCGACCACACGCCGTGGAGAGGACTCAAACTGCCAGAGGTCAACCTGCACTCCGGGTAAAGTCCCGAATTAATGCCGATATTCGTTACGCTAATTGACGCGAGGAAAAAAAGACCAAGATGAAATGCCGAGGAATTCGAGATAGTTTCAGTCACCAACTAACAAATAACGTAACATCGGTGTTATAATTTCTTTCTCAACAATGTAAATGCGATACAACGCGTGTGTCGTTGAGTGGGAAATTATGATATTGATATTATGTTATTAACAGTTGATGTTTAATGGGATTTTATCTTATCACTTTAATCACTAAATTTAGCCTCTTCAAATAGTTTTAATTAACTAATTAATTCTTACTTGTTGCCGGAACGTTATAGAGAGTTTAAATGTTAACACTTGTTTGTTTTTGGATGACTAATCTCATCAAGCTAAATTTTACGTTAATTTAATTTTTATTAATTTTTATTCCTTTTTAGTTTCATATCAATTGAATTTTATCAGCAAGCTAAGTTTTCTAATTGTCCCTCTTTTTGTTTGTTAGTGCAAGGAATCACATAGGAATAAAGCGGAAAATTTGTAATGCTTCCATAAAATTATATGACAGCGATAACGAGATGTCGGTAGATAATTGCTTTCCTCTTGACAATTTATCGCTCGACAGGTTGCATTTGGCGGGTGCGCTTCCTGCTTACGGTAGAGGCGGTATCGCCCTGACACCTGGGATCGTGAAGACCCTCCCAGTTTACATAACGAAGCACGTGGTGTTGGAAAAGCCAGTACCAGTCCCTGAACCGGTGATCATAGAGAAACCATATCACGTGCCGGTGGAGAAGGTGATACCGGTACCGATCGAGAAGATCATTCACAAACCGGTCCCTGTCCCGATACCGGTGCCTCAGGTAACGTATCGGTCGTTCTTACTTTCTCATGAGAAATTGTCTTACCGGTGACAGCTATTGATCTTCGGTGATTCTATTATTCATTTCGATTCAGGCCATATTGTGAAAAAAAGTTTCAATTTCACTTTAACTAAGGTCTCTTCTAAACTCGTCACTCGAATCGAAAAATTCATATATGAAAGGGAAGTTGCTTAATCAAACTTTGTCCATCATGTGGCCCTAAAAACATTTCACAATCGGTTCTTTGTGTGATTTAAAAAAATTTCCCCGCTCATCGGGTAACGCTGATGCGATGGCAAGTCAACATTTAACCCTTCCAGATTCTAAATTAAAAATTCAAATTGGACACTATCATAATGTTTTGAAGAAATCGCGACGTCAATTATCAAAAACTGTAATACAAAGTGGGGCTACCAATTAAAGTTTTTTCAACATCATTTTGACAAGTCATTCCAAGGTCATTTCAAGATCATAGAGACATTGCCATCTAGTATAAATTTTTGAACACTGCAAGTTTTGTCTCAAATATTTTTTCATAAAACCAATTATTCCGGAGATAATTAACCGTTTCCGGACTTTTAAACCACCTTTAGAGATAGCACAGTTAGTTTCATATACGTTCTTTATGTAGTATGATTATGAAATGTTACATATGTTTAAAAAATATATATGAAACTAACATGTATTATTATATTAGTATATTATATTATTATATTACCTAGACCTTATATAATGTGTACAGAAATTTTTGAAAGATTCGATTTCATTATGTTAGCACCCTTATCACCGTCTATGTTGCCACATCTGAGCGCCTTATACATAATTATGTCTGATTATACGTAAACAATTTTTTTCCGGGGACCTTCCTCAGGTAGAAAAAATTTCTAAGAGACGTAGAAACATTCAAAAGACGTTCTGTTTTTTAGATATCTTTCAGATGTCTAAGAGGTCTTTTAGAAACGTGTTCTGCTTGGGTTGCTGTTTTCGTTAGTCGTGATTCTCTTGTTAAATATGAGAAAGAGAGAGAGAGAGAGAGAGAGAGGGAGAAAGAGAGAGAACTTCGCACATCATATTGATCTATATTATTCGCTTACACAGGCAGTGCCAATTCCTGTGGAGCATCCTGTGCCGTTCCCGGTGAAGCATCCCGTCGCGGTACCAGTGCAGCAGCCGTATCCAGTGGCGGTGAAGCATCCGGTGCCAGTGCCGGTGCCAGTGCCAATTCCGGTTCCGGTGCATCCGCCGCCTCTGTTCGCCGCCGGCGGGCTGGCTGGCGCCATCTACAGCCGCGGCTATGCACCCGGTCACCTTTTCGCGCCTCTGCACCTTCACCCATCCGTGCACTTGCACGGCCACGGCGTCGCGGCTCTCTCCCATGGCTTCGGCCATGGGATTGGTCATATGTTAGCGCACGGTTACGGCCACGGCTATGGCTATAATCCCTCGTATCACGACGCCCACGTCGACCATCTTGTTCACGCGCACAATCACAAGAAGCGGAAAACTGATAAGAATTAGATACGAAGGGTAGCGACGAGCGCGTGTAAAACAATGGAATTCCTTAATCCTGTATGATTATACGTAGATGTAACTTTTTTAAGAGGAAAGAGAGAGGGAGAGAGAAAGAGAGAGAGAGAGAGAGAGATCACGACAAGAAGGGCAAGACCGAACGTTTTTTCAGAGTTCGGAATTGTGTCGAGGGAGAATCGTTGCGGGAGAAAGGATCACTGTCGGTATAGAAGCGTAGACTTCGGACAGTAGAAAGGTACGCAGAATCAACGAAAGGCATTTAGGAGATTTTTGAGAGAGATACGTTCGAGTGAGTTTCTCGAGTATAATTGGGAGCTTAAAGGATTCCGCAAATTCGCCAATTGTCGCGTCTTGTTGTAAATTTGAACCTGTGAGACGAACTCGCGCGACAGTCGCCTCTTCGAAAGGCACACAGGCGATGTGATCCTTGAATAACACCATATATGAAGATGTCTGGCACTGCGTAAAATATTCTTACGTTACTTTACGTCTCAACGCCAAATGTATATCAATAGATTTCCGCGTAAAAATGTAGAATTTAGATCGTTAGAACATTGTGCGTCACGATTATTAATCTTCCAAGCCGAATAAAAAATTGATTCGCTCAATATCGAAAAAGAGACACCGCTCCGAAAATCTTTCCCGTTCTTTCGTGAAAAAATTCCGCATCTCCGCGAGGCGCTGAAAACTATCCGGGCGAAATTTGACGAAATAAATACAATTAGAGGTGCAAGCGTGAAGCTTTCCTCGGAGAGAAAAACTTGACACTTCTCTCTCTCTCGTCACACACGATTCTTTACAATTTTCTTTCAACATTGAACGATCACACACCGTGTCCTCGTTTCAGCGTGCAAGAGGCCCGTTCGTGTTAGCTGCACTTTCATGAACTTTCCGTGCTCCCAACAAGACGAAATATATTTCGGATTACGGATTGTGTCCGAAATGTATGGTAAACCTGAAAGAAAAGTGAGAGACGAAGAATACAGGTTAACACAGCGCGTCTGAGACGAGCGGAGCCGAGTTGTCCGCCGAGTCCTTTCTATCTACTTTCGGCGAACGAACGAACGGACAGACGAAGGAAAGGCGGTGCAGTAGTAAGCGACTGTTCAAGTACGGCTGCTCCGATCGGAGATCTGTCAGCTTCTGGCTCGTTTCGAGGAACAGCTGATCCAGCCAGATCGAATCTCGGGGAAATGCTAGTTCGCCCGAATCCTGCGAAACAGACGCACGATGAGTGTTAGCGAGGTGTCAAAGCGGCCGCCAGGACGGTAAATAAAGAGCCACGCATGTGGAAAAATCAATGAGGGTGCAACGTGAGAGCGCATCGCGCTCGCAAAACTGACGAGGCTGTCGACACGCGGCCGACGATTACGGTACGTGAGCACATATCGTTTAATACCCGACAATAGCCGGGAATCGTCCTTTTAACCGGATCGGAATGTTCACAGAGTACATGAGGAAGCATCGCCGCTAGGTTATGTTGCGACGTCCGTACGTTCGTAACGTCACACGCACGCCACGATCGTAGGCAAGCGTGCGGCACAATAATAAGGAGGCGATGCCGAGATGTTGACATTAGACGAGACGGAATACGAGAACATGCCGAAGAAAGCCGGAAAGAGTCGGGAGGAGAAGAAAAGTAAGGGGGACAAGCGGAACAGGCGCAGCACCAGCAGCGGCCGTAAGCTGAGGAGCAAACTGGCCAAGCCTATTCCGCTCAAGATCGAGTTCCCGGAGGAGAAGCCGAGCATGGGGCTTTCATACCACGAAAACGACCCCGTAGCTTCCAGCATCTCCAAGGAGATCAAAGTGGAAACTTCTTCGTCGAATGAAGACGAGTACATAATACTGACTCCCCTGGAGTCCCTGAAGGATACCGAGATAAAAACGGAGGAGCCGTTGGACCAGTGCATGCAGATCTCCAAGAGTCGGCACAGGCAGAAGCGTCTCAACAAGATGATACTGCTGCGGAAGTGTGCGGTCAATCGCAACAATCTGTCAACAGAGGAGACGGAGGACGAGTCCCATGAAAACACCTCCTTCGAGGAGGACGGACGTGTCCCCAATATCGAGAATCATATATATGAGAATGCCGTGGAGGAGCAGCAGAAGAACGGCAAGGTTAAACGGGAGAAGATCAAGTGGTCGAAGAAGCTCCATCCGTTGTCCCTTTATTACACGGACAGGAGCAAGCCCTACCTGAAGTGCCCCGCGTGCGGCGCGATGTTCTTCTGCTCGAACACGTATCAGAGGCACCTGCACTCGCACATGCAGAAGATAATGGAGAGTTACGTGTGCGATTTCTGCGACTACTCGCACTCAGAGCCCGGTATGCTGTTCGCACACTTGGCCAAGCATCAGAACCAGTGCGAATCCTGCAACGAGAGCCTGCTGCGCAAGGACAACTTCGAGAAACACCTGTACCAGTGCTCCTTCGCGTTCAGCTTGAAGCGCGATCACCACGGCAGATTCGTCTGCACGGTGTGCGAATTGGTGTTCGACCTGTTGGCCCAACTGGAGAAACACTGGTTCAAGCATACCTGTAAGAAGCAAAAGTCATACCAGTGCAATGAATGCAGCGGTCTCTACGAGAACCTGGAGACTCTGAAGAATCACAAGTGTCTCAAGTGTCCGGTCTGCGGCGAGGTCTACGAAAGTCTGCATCGGCTGAAGATACATACGATGTGGATGAAGCACTACCTGAAGTGTCCCATTTGCTCCTACGAGTTCATCCTCTCCACGGACCACGAGAAGCACCTGTCCCTGCACAGGAAAGTGTACCAGCCGATGAAGGATTACATGCACTGTTTGCGCGCTGCCGACGGCAAAACCTTTCAGTGCAACCTCTGCGACAAGATATTCTACGCCTTACCGACCCTCCTGTCGCACCTCACCGAGGAACATGACGTAAAGAGCGTGAAGATGGAGGAGGCGGACCCGGACGACAATTTCGAGCTGAAGGGGGACATTATCGACATAGTTGTGGTTCCTGACTTCAAGGATTCCGCGAGCTACTCCGACAGCTGTAGCGACACGAACCCGCTGCAGCAGGACACCGATGCGGAGGATCATGCCGACTACGAGCTCAAGTCGTGAAAATGGAGAACAACAGCCTTCATTGTGAGCCGTTGTTAGCAGCTTTTTACTGTCACAACACCACAGGCACACTCTCTCATAAAATAATGATACTCAAAAGCGAAAGGGAAGAAAGGAACTGTACTACTAAAATATACAAGGGACAACAATTGTAAGTGCCGCCGCAGTTGCGAAGCAGTAGACGAGAAGCAATTTATCCGGGAACGCTATTTTTCAAGGTGTATCATTTGCTTCGGGATTTTTGATATCGATTTATATAATACCGGGACGAGACCGTGTTGATTTGAAAAAAAACACAGAACACTGCTGTATTCTCCTTTTATCTTCTCCGTTAAGCAAAAAAAGATATATATATATATATATGGCTGTGTGTGTGTGTGTGCTCGCGTGCGTGTGTGTGTGTACATACATATACATACACACACATGCATATGTATACATACATACATACATACATATATATATATATATATATATATATATGTGAAGACAAGAGGGTAACGATAATTAAACGCTATATTAGCAATCCTAAAGTAGATATATTAACGAAACGAATAGCCGGTGAGGCGATCGGGATGCAGATATTTTCGGATGAACCTAAGTGTCTCTCTCTCTCTCTCTCTCTCTACATCTAAAACACGCTGGCGAGCGACCGTCTCTCTCGCGCCGCGTCCTCTCTCACCCTCTTCTCCTGCAGAAGGGAGAGACGCGCTTCGCGTGCGACATCGTCGCTCGCGGCCGCATGTTACACACCGTTCTAGACAGCTCCGTTCCACAGACTCTACAGAATAAATACAAGTTATATTTGTAACATAAATACATTCCGCTCTATCATGCCGCGTGACTCAAGCGGATTTTACCCGTTCGGAAAATTCTTGCATCACAGATGTAATTAATTTCTCTGTAAAGATATACACAGATCACATTAGGTTTAAACCTCCGTATACAGTATGTATATATATATATTACCTATATGTATCGCGTGACGTATACGTTTATATGGAGTTTCCTTTTATTCTCTTCGTCTCCATTATTATTATTATTATTCTTACGTTGGAATATTATAAAAAGCGACGTATATATACACAAGCTGTGTATGATACGTGTACACACACACACACACACACACACACATATATATACACATATACACATATATGTGTATTCCGAGCTATCAGTCCTGCTGTAGCCTGATCATGACGTCTCGCTACGTTAATTAGCTTCTTCGTTAATTTTCTAATAAATTCGAGTCGGAATCTGCTATTTCCCTAGAATCTAAATCGCATCTTGCGCGCGCGCGCGCGCTCTCCTCGACGAACTTACCGTTCTCGTGATCGCGTGAGGTTACGTCTGGTAGCAGCATGAAAAACACTGGGCTAAACACGATGCATTTATAAACGCATGGTTAAATATCGGAAACACCTCGCAGGTTATACATTATTATTATTACTATTATTATATTAACGCGGATCTCTCGTTCGCATCCGCTCGTGTGTCGGGAGGGGAGGGGAGATATTAGCAGCGTATGCTCGTATATATAAGTCTCAAGTCGTAGGCCTACGGTACTCTATACTTTACATCAAGAGTCAGCTCTGTTATTATGTATTCGTTTTGAAAAATAAATGTTCATTAGCAATAACATCCTCCTTTGTAAACGCAGACACACACACGCGCGCGCATATACGCAACCGAGAGAGACGCCACTTTAATCGCGTAAATATCAGGGGGCAAGAAAGCAGCGAGAAAAGTAGGACCCTCGAGTCCTTTTCGTAGTCCAGAGATTAGAGCTCATGTGAAATTCGGCGTCTGATTCGCATATATATATATATATATATGTATATATATATATAGTGACTCGATCCGGAGGAACGGATGCGAAGAAGCCGCGTCTGTAAGCTTCCACGCCGCGAAAACAAGAATTACGAAATATTTACTGAGCACGCAATTATTGTACAATTACATTGTATAGCTCTTGTGTATCTCTCTATACATATAATCGCCGACGCATTCATATAACTCTCTCTCTCTCTCTCTTTCTCTCTATTTCCCTCAGTATTTTCCAATATGCCTCCTGCCAAGAGACATCAGGTGCGCGAGCAGCAAGACCGAATACTGAAGCTATTCGTCTGAGAGAACGCTAATGATCGATCTTTCTCTCTGTATCTCGATAACGCCCGGGCGCCGATTGTAGTAGCCTAGCCGAGATGATCCAACCGACAGCCGTGGAATCCATTGTATAAGAGAACCGTTGTTATTTTTCAATTCGTACACGTCGAGAGCATAGAGTTGCGCATTCAGTAGGCAATAGATATATATACGCTTTATTGTATAATTCGTCCGCTTCTCTATATTTACTTTTATACTCGAAATCGTCTTTCAGAGAATATTGTAAAAATAAAATTGGTTTTTCTCTCGAGATTCTTTTTTTTCAGTCAGTTGGGATGATGCATGCCTGGTGATTCCCATGGCGAAACGCAGCAGCAGCACTCGCAGGTCATACACTCCTCATGCTTTGATCCACTGCTCCACGTACTCGAGGGCGCCCAGAAGAATCCTCTTCTCCGTGACTCTCAGTTGAACGGTCATTTTCTTCACTTGCGGCAACGTGGTCTCCAGTAGTTCCAGATCCTCCTGCGGAGCGAGAGAAAAGATTCATTAACGACGCGCTGGCTCGGCAGGGCCGGCCGCGGGGTTTCACTTTCACCTTCAGCGTGGTCGGGTAATTAGCGATCAACAGTTGCAGTCTGGTCAGCAGAAATTTCCGGACGTTCTCCTCAACGACGGTCTCCAGCGCACAGTCCATGTGCTTCAAGTCGAACACCTTGTCCGAGCGCAGCCAATGCGCCAGCTCCGCTTTTCGCATGCTGAACACTCGCAGGAAAGCCAACAGCATATCGGAGATGGGCTCAGTGCCCGGTTTCAGTAAGAACTCTCCCACCGACGGTAGATCCAATTTGCTCAAGAGTTCCGTCCGCTCCTTCTGCAGGGAATCTGCCTTGCTAATGCCAAGGCGAAGCTTGAAACCATCCTGCGAATTGTCAAGTCTTTATAACGATTTGTACAGACCGTTGTGTCGAAATCTATGCCCGCTCTCGGATTGCTCGACCGACGCCGATCTCTTCGTGGCGAAGATATAATCGGAAGATTCTCTCACCGCGCGCCGGTGGGGATCAATTCACTCTTTAAGGCTCCCGGCACCCCGCTGCAGTCTTGCTTGATGAAAGCGAGAAAACGCATGCTCCGAGTTCTTGCTATACGTTCAAATAAGAAGATGTATTGTAGATAGATCGTCAAAATAAACGTTTGTGATCGATTCAGCGTACTTATAAGATATTGCGAAAACTTTCTCTTTATGTTAACAATGAAACCGTAAAATTAACATCTTTCAAAATGACATCTTTCTTTTTAACGTATCTTTTCTCATGATTTTGTCTCGTTAATTTTACGGTCATTTATTGATTGTTCGCGTAAAAGGAAAATATTCGGAGTAACTTAGTGTACTGAATCGATGACAAATGTCATATTTTGTGGGTATATCTTTTTATTTGAACGTATACCCCGCAAGAGAGAGAGAGAGAGAGAGAGAGAGAGAGAGAGAGAGAGAGAGAGAGAGAGAGAGAGA